ATTTACCAGTCTGCATAGAAATTGTCAGCATCATGTTTGGGGTTGATGATGCCCAGAATAAAGAAAAGCACATAACTTTGTGATAGTTCCATTGATGACCTAGAGCCATCATGAGAGATGTCATGGAAATACCAGAATCCTACCGTGAATGTATGAATCACCAGATACTACTATTATACTCCTTAGAATTATTGAAAAGAAAGTTTAAAAGCATAGCATTTATTCTGCAGGAAGTCCCAAATAAACCTCCTGGGAAGGAATAGTGATGAGTCAGTGTTTTCATAGTGATGAGTCAGCGCTTTGAAACTAATAACATGGTGGGAGGCTGTGTACTCCTGATGTGGCCACCATGATGGAAAAATAACATGAAATTTGCCAACGTGTAGATATAGGGGAATTGCATCCTTATGGTAAAATTTAAATATTCCAAGCCATCAAGACAAGTTGTTAGAAAGACTGGTTAATCAACAAAATAGTGGTAAGCACTCTCCTATTCACTCCCACTTATATGGCCAGTTTCTCATTGAAGGTGGTGGCCCAGAATTTGGAGAGATAGATAGCTATTGAAAGACTTGATTGGAAATTGCCAGTCACCATTTTGTGCATAAAACCTATTTTTAAATAAATACGGTTACAGAAGAAAGCTTATCCTTAAATAGATAGGTTGAAGGACAGGTGAGGGAAAGGGGGAAAAAGTATCAAGTTATGTCATGTACAGGTACAAATTTTCTATGGTGCCTGTGATCATTATGTATATCTTTTTTTATAAATTACTTATTTGTTAATATTAAGAAGAAAAGGTAAAACAAATTTTCACAGCAAAATAATGAAAAAGTAACAATTGTTGATAAATTATACAACATTATCTTTAGTCACTCAAGTACAAAATATGGGAATAAAAATTTCTTCAATCAATATTAGCACGACCTTTCCTATTCAGTGAACTAAGTGACACTAATGGTATAAATAACTTGCATTTTTTTCTTTTCCCTTCTATCCTTTCTCTTTTCCCCTATCTTAGTTTCTTCTTTTTATTGAACAGTTTCCTCCTATTTCACAGTGACTATTGTATATTTTGAACCTTATGGTTTCACATATGTCACTGTGGTGTGATGTTTTTCAATCCTTCTGGGAAGATACACAGAAGGGGAATACCTGGGTTGAATGAGATCTCTAATCCTAATTTGTATATTATGTATATCTTATGTAAATCTATATATTATGTATATCTAAAATGTACCAATAAGTTCGGGATGGAAGAAAAAAATTAAAAAATGAATGAAAAAAAGTAATCAGATTTTTAAAAATTGTTTTAGTCCTTCTGAATAAGATTTTTCCTACTCTTGAAAATGAAACTAGCCCATTCTTATAATTAAAATTACTGGGTCAATTTAATAGCTCCTGTAAAATTCCTTCCTCAAACAGATTGATTCACATGTCCATCCATGTGATGACAGTCTATTTTCTCACACCACTGCCTGCTGTCTTTTAAAATTTGTGTTTTCCTCACAGCAAGAAACTGAATCTCATTTATTTCTTTGATTTGCATAAGACTAATCACTACTGTGATTATTATAGTTCCTCAAATTTATTAAGCATTTATGTTCTCTATCCAATAAAGGGCTTTTTATTTCTAGTGCTCATTTCGATAGGATTGTTTCATTTTCCCATGGATTAGTAGGAAATGCCCCAAAATGTCAGATATTAAATATTTGTTTATTAGAGGTGTTGCAAATACTTTCTCCCAGCTTGTCTTTTTAGTTTTTCATGGTGCGTGTTTTACAAGCTTTGTAATTCTGAAATATTGGTGGCATTCCATTTTTTATGTTCTGTTTCATGGGTTTCACTTTTATGTGATGTGGGCTATTATGCAAAGGTGAAGAGTCCTGTCATTTAGCTTTTTTTCCAGGAATTTCAAAGTATGCACATTGAACCTATGGTTCTTTCTTGAATGTTGCTTTATGGGCTGAGATTTTTTATTGTTTTAGCGTTGTTTTTGTTGTTGTTGTTGTCTCACATAATTGTACACTTACTTGCTTTAAATTTAGAGAATTACACCTTTGTGGTGGTTTTATATGGCTTGATTCTTTTGTTTAATTATCTTAATTACTCTATTTATAATCTGTCATTTTTGTTGAGTAGTTTTGGGGTTATTTTTGTTTATTTGCCCATCATTGTCTAATGAAGAAGATGAAGATGTTAAATAGTATGCCGGCTCTTATCCTAGAGTTCTGGATTTCACAGAGATCAACTTCAACTCTCAGTGATTGATCTGTTCAAAGAAAATAGGTCTAAGACCTGGCTTGGGCTGCTTGGAGAAGCAGACTTCATTGAACATGGCTAAGTACATCATGCCTCTACACTGGGCAAGACCTGTGTCATAGACGCTGCCCTAGGAATTTTCTTAACATTCCCTCAAGTTTTCTAGACTTTAAATAGCCCTGTGTTGGTCTCTGTGGTTCATGGTACCCACCAGGTTGTCTGTAAGTTCAACAGGCTCAAGAGCCAGGTCATCTTACAGAGGCATCTTACACCAGACTGCTGGCTTTGCTTGCAGGTATCTCTTGTAGGATCTAGCCACACTAGCATTGGTCCTCTTTGGAGCCCCAAGGATTGGGAGCATTCCAGCTGGCAGCCCTGGCTTTGGATTTGGGAGTTACAGATTCCAGGTCTAGTTTTATACTAACTTGATTCTGTGTTGTTGAAATGTATGAAGGCCATACAATATTTATTGCTCCAAAAGACCCTTTGTTTTATTAGCTTGTCAGCCCAATGGTGTGAATAATATATTATAATTTGGTAATCTATGAACAAATTCTAGAGATTTTCATGACAGTGAATGGTCAAGTACCTGATTAGGTTTGATGCTCCCTTGGTCATGATGGTAAGATTTCCTAAGATCATGAGCACATTAAGTGAGTAAATTAGCTCACCAAACAAATATACATGATAGTATCTCAGGGCTTCAACACTAGTATCTGGACTAAGCGTTCTTTTGAAATCATATCCATATATAAGAAATTTGGCTGAGTCAGTACCCTTAGAATTTAGCTCACACTAGTGTTATGTATCATTGTTTCACATGACGATAAAATACAAGAGAAATAATCTAGAAACTTGGCTAGGTTAACATAGAAAAGCTATGTCTTTATATTTTAGACTATAATCAAAGTGAAGGTATTGTGGAATCATCATATTCATTCTTTCATTTAAGATGAAAACTGTGTCATTCTGTCAGGAGATGTGCTCTCTGCTCCTTGGTCACCAACAGCAATGATTCAGTTCTCATCTCTTATCACCTTTTCTCCTTGCTGTGGTTTAGATACAGTTTGAGTGTGTGTCTCTATGGCTTCATGTGCTGGAAACCTTCCTCAGCTGGTGATGCTGGGAGATGATAGGACTTCCTAAGAGCTGGTCCTCACAGGAGGCAACTTGGTTATTAGAGGCACAGTCTTCAGGACACTGAGATGCCAGTTACTTCTCATGAGAGAGGTTTGTTACAAAATAGGAGCACTGGCCACTTCTGACTCCCTTGTACCTGTCTTGCTGGGAGATGTACTCTCATGGCAGATTCCATCACTGCAATGCTATCCAGCATGAAGCCCTCACCAGAGGCTAAGTTGATGGGGTCAGCTTTTCTTGAACTGTCATTCTCCAAAACTGTAAGCTATTTTTCCATTATAAAATGTACATGCTCAAACATTTTGTTATAGCCATGGTAAACAGACATATACTCCTAGTTCCTCTAATTCCTCTGACAGTCATTCACACTAAAGTTTAAACTGGGGATACCAGAATGGATGCTGAGTGCTAGGAAACCTGGGAAAACTAGATACGCTGAACGATAGGAATTCATTAAAACATCAAGATCAAATATAATAAGAGGCCGAAGTTAAGGAGAATACATATCACTAGTCCATACGGGATTTAAAACTCTTAATTTGGGCACAAAAAATTGATGCTACTCCCAGATGATTTCAAATCAATAAAGTTGCAACCCTATAAGATTCATCTCTTGTGTCCTCTGCACGTCTTGTCACTGAGTCCTTCCCTCCATCTTCACAGTCTGTGCATCCACCAGACCGCATACTCTTTTTAGAGGTCTGAGAATTATTTGAATACCAGGCATCAGTCCTACAAGATCCTTCATTTGAGCTACTAGGTTATTTTGTCTCCTTTTATTGCCTTCCCATAGTTGTTACTATCTGGGATCTACATCAAATCCCTTTCATTATTTTGTCTCCTAGAGATGCATACCCAGTTCCTCATATCCAGTCACTTTTGTTTGCAGTTCCTAGTGTGGATTCAGTTTCCCAGACTGGATCATAACTGAAACAGAGACTTAAGGTATTTGGAAGCCGGATAATGGGCCTTTGTTTTGTGCTGACCATCTCTAGAAAGGGGATGAGGTATAATTGAGGGGTTATTCAACCAGGTAGAGGGGACTCAAGAGAGGTTGACACTGGCTAGGCCTGATTTTGAACAGAAGTGTGTTTGAATTCATTATCACACTTTCTCCTAGGGAACAGGTAATTCAGAAGCCAAAAGCGGTGGGACCAGGACCTCAACAGCAAAGGACCACACTCCTCCAAGACCAGAGGAGATGGGGATGGAAAGTAGGAGACCTTGAGCAAGGAGACTCCTGGATTCCTAACCCTTAGTCTCCCTGTAGTGGACTGGGTTTCTTCTGTCATGAGACCGAGTTCCTGTATTGTGAACACTTTGTATTCCCACTCTTAAGCCTAGAGTAAAATGACAGGACTACCCAGGTCTGGGAAAGTCCCTTAGTCTCTCCTTTTTGAGAAACCTGTGATCTGTCATCACCTCTCTTTCCTTGTGGTTGATCTCATGGGCTTAGCTCAGCACTTACTGCTCAGGGAACCTAGACAAGCCATACATATTTGAGATTTCTTCATCAGAACCTCCTGAGATGTCCTGGAAGGAGGAAGTGGATTTCTTTCACTTTGAACACGGGTCAAGCCCCACCCAAGAAACTACAACCTCCCTCTGCTCATCTGGATAAATGACCCAGGCTCTGTCAGAGCCCATTATTGCCCTCAGAAGCTGATGGAGCTGTGATTTGGTCCTGTGGATTTCAATAGAGACCCTTACTTGCCAGGTAAACTGCATAGCTGCCAAATCCCTCTGACTCTGGAGCTTTCTGTGCTCTAGGGATGAAAAAAAGGGTAAGGGTCATGCTGGATAACTGTGGGCTTTTTCCTTGTGGGCCTTGTTATACCTCATGGTGGAGTGGCTGGGATTTGGAAGAACTTCCCTGGCATGGACATTTGCTTTTCTCTGGAAAGCAACAGAATGAAGGAGAGGTTCCTCTGGCAGGAGGAAACACTGGCACCAGGAGCTTGGCATTTTTAAGATCAAATATCATGCCTGGCATGAGGACTCCGAGGGAGATAACCTTGTTGGCCAGATCTCTGGGTAGAGAATAATTCTGCTTGTTCTAGCATGCCTCAGACTTCTGTGAAAATTTATCCGGGATGATGGCTTGAATTTTCTGAGTAAAGGTTTGTGTCAGGTCAGGCATGTTAGATCCCTATCTACAATAAGAAGTGAAGGAACTAGTGTCCGAAGATGACCTTAGAAATATCCTATGAGGCTCATCTCTTCTGTCTTTGTTTCCTCAGGTGCTGAGACAAACCAACTATGAAAAACCCTAATGACATTATGTGTTCAGGTAATGTTGGGGTAGGGCTCTGGTGGCCTGAGTCACTTACAGTCATAGCTGTGTCCTCTGAATACCTTAGCATTTTCTGTCCCTCCATCTGCAGGTACCCTTAGTGCCTGGTACTGTCCACCTGCCACAGGGCCATGGGCTTTCAGAGGGTGGGAACCATTGCCCATTCACTGTTCTAGCTCTATTTCCCAGAATCATTCCAACTACTGAGCAGGTCCAAAAAAGAATAGCTTGGCTTTGACACATGTGTGCTGTGGTCACATGTTTTGTTATCCTTTGTCTTGATGGTTTTCTCTGACGCCATTTACAGACCTTAGTCGCCTTTGCGATCCTCAGCAGAGCCAATAGCTTTACTGGAAAGAAACTTTGGGCTGATGAGTTTTGGGGCATAAACCTCTGGTCTTCCACTTTGAAGGGCCAAGATTAGATGATGTTTCTCCTGAGTGAGGCAACTTTGGCCTTCATGTTTCTTCATTTTTGTCTCCATTCAAGTATCATCAAGAGATGCTCCACTTCTTGGGAAAGTCTCTGATTTGGATCAGCAGGTGTGGATCCTTCAGGGTCAGTCCCTAGTGTCAGTTCCACGGAGTAATGATGTTGCATCAGGTGAGGGCTCATGCTGTGGGTATTCCACATCTCACACTGGTGGTGGCCTTTTATTAAAGCCTGAGTACTTATGCTTGATTGCACTTCATTGAATGAGTAAAGCTAACAGTAATTATATTCCAGGATAGCTAAAAGAGCAGTTTTTAAATACTCTGACATCAAAAAAATGATAAATGTATGAGGCAATGGGTGTGATTAGTACCCTAATTCAATCATTATTATATTGTATACAAATATATCAAATCATCACATTGTAGCCTATAAGTGTATACAATTACAATATGTCCGAAAACCCTAGATTTAAATGGAATGTCGATGAAAGGGATAGAATTTCCCAGCTGACTTGGAAGAGAAGTCACTGAGAGGTTAGTCTCAGACTAAAGTAAATAATCAAATAGTGTAGAGGAGCCTCCTAAGAATTAGAGAAGTAACATTCTGATCTTAATCAGCTGATCCAGCCAGTGGTAGGGGATTAGCTTGTTCTATTTGGCCTCAAGATACCATAAAAAGACAAAATGGGTGAGTAACACAGGAATATTTCACAATCAGAGTACAAGAACTTGATAATGGGTAGAGCTCTCCAAATACAAAGAGATGCATCTGGGAGTAGGAGCTTCTCAATTCCAGATGTTCAAGCACAGGTGTGAGAATATCAAAGGCAGATCCTGTCACTTGCTAAACTTTCTTTAGCACATTTACTAGAGAGCAATTTTCCATAAGGGAAAGATAGATGAGTGCATGCATGGATATGGGTGTGGGTCTGGGACAGCAAGAAGCGTACTCTTCTCCATCTTCCAGTCCCACCTGGAAGATCCTACTTTGGAAAATCAGTTAGAACTAGAAGTACTATTCCATTTTCCTGACTCACACAGAAAACTGGCATGCTCTTCTGCTTTTATTTCTATAGTCACCATCACTGTTCTGACATGCAAGTATCCAGAGTCCCTTGAGAAAGGCAAAGGAACTCCCATTTATCTAGGAATCCAAAATCCAGATATGTGTCTGTGCTGTGAGGACATAGAAGGACAACCCACACTGCTGCTGAAGGTCAGTGATGAAGCAAAATAATAATTTCAAATCCAATTTTTCTATGCAAAATTTTGTTTGGTAGAAGATTTAGTGTTATAATTGAAAAAGAAATATTATCAGTTTCCTAAGTATATTGATTCCTAGGTCCTTTTGAGTAATACGCATCTAAGAGACTTTAATTTATTCTCCCCTTTACTAGTTAAAAGTTTCTCATCTTCCTTATAATTTGAGATGTTTTCAGTCATTGTTTATTCAGGTATGTTCTCTACATAATTCTGCCACATCTTTCCTTGTGGAATTCCTATTCGTCAGTCACTAGAACTCTTAAATCTCACTTGACTATCTTTCTCATCTAATCTGCCATACTTTTTATCCTTCCATGTTTTATTTTTTGTTTGCATTGCATTCTAGAAGAATTTCTTCGTTCAATCTGCTACTTCATGATTACATTTTCAATTTTGTCTCAAATTGTCCTACAGTATCTTTTTATAAGTCAGTTTTTACTTTAATTTCCTGAGCTCTCTGGTTGATTTTATTTAGGCACATATGTATATATAAAGCCCTATATGCGTATACTTGTGTACATACATATGTTTGTTCTATTCATTAACCTAACTTTACATCACTCAATTTAACTCAGTCTAACTCGGTTCATCAAATGTGTGCATGGTAATTGGCCTCTAGCACCAGGCATGCTCTTGAGATACATCCTGGCATATACAGCAAAGAGCCCTAACCTCATAGGGCTGGTGGGAGGAGGAAAACAGCAGACAATGTATATATTAAACACATTAGTTGGTAAATCTGTGATGTGTAAAGGGGGTATGTCTCTTTGAAAGGAACAGACAGAACAAGATAAAGAGACTGCAGAACCAGAAGCAGGTTGTAGTACAGTAGCACAGTCAGCATTACTGTGGTAGTAAAATCATGACAGCAAAGGAGGCAGGAAAATTAGTCCTCAGGGCATCCAGTGAGCGCAAGACCCATGGTGAGGAAAGACACTTATGTGTGAGTCAAATGAGGAGGGAGGAATGCAGAGATAAAATACCAGACCAGGAAGGGTATGTTGATTTTGTAAGGACTTGGCCTTGTGATCTCAAAGAAATGAATTGAACTTTGGAATGGACTTTGGTCTAAAAAAGGATTTCACGACTTCCAGTTGATCATAGGGTCTGGGGGAAAGTGTAAAATTACTTTCAGAGTGAGCTTTAGTGTGCCTCTAAGAGCCAGGTGATAGCAGTGGAGATAGAGAGAGGCAGGTCTGATTTTGGAAATATTTTAAGTGCAGGCAACAGGATTTGTTGGCAGAGTGAATGTGACCAGTAGGTTGAGCACTGAGAACCACGTGTTCTGTTAAGTCAGTTTTTGCTGTGCTTTTGTCCTCAGGACTGAGACTAGCCCATTGCACTTGGCAACATGTGGGTTATTGAGGACCTTGATGCGGACAGGAGGACAGTGTCAGTACAGTCACGAGGTTGAACATCTGGAGTGAGTTTGAGGAGAGTAATCACTAGCAAGAAATCAGACAGCAAATACAGGCAGCAATTGTGAAGAGTTTGCCCCGGTGGGGAACTGGCAGTGGTACCATGCAATGTGCCACATAACAAAGTTTTAGCCCTGATGAACCATATGTAGGATCGTGGTCTTCTAAGATTCTATCATCAAGTGACATCCTAGCTGTCTTAGTGTGTATAACCACACTCTACATTTGTTTTACCGCACTCTGCAATGTTGACATAGTAATAAAATTGCCTAACAATACTTTTATCATAATGTGTCCCTGGCATTAAATGACACACGACTATGTTTTTAAAAGGACTGAAATGAAAGCAAATATGCTGATGGGAATGACTGAGAAGAGAAACAAAACTGATGAAAAATAAAAGGCCAGGAAGAATGGCTAAAGGAATGCCCTTAAGTGAGTGGCTGTACATGGGATCCACCACTCAGTCCACCTCAGGGAAAGAGGCACCAGTGTAGGGTGGTTTGTGGAAGTTTCCTTTCATGTGTTCACTTTCTCAATGAGGAGGGAGTAGAAATAAAGCTGGCAGAAGAGGTAGGGAGCTTGAAATGAGAAGGCATTTGTTAAACAGCCGGCAAATCTCTCTTGAGCAGACTGTCAGGGGCTCTTCTGTATGCTGAGAAATACAGTTATGTGTAAACCTACTACATTTAGAGAGTGATGGTAAAATCTGATAATAATTATGTGGTTGAGAGATAAGTATGCTAAGTTTAGATAGTGTTGCCAAATAATGCAGAAAATAACCCAGGATTGATGCAGTGACACCTGAGAGGCTGGATGTGAAATGTCTAGTGAGGATGTGCAGTGGAGTCTCTCCAAGGAAGAGACGTCTGAGATGAGTCCCTGAGTCACAGTGCAGAGCCAGCTCGGGCAAGGCTGGAACTGGTGTGTCGAGGTAGACCAAGTACCAGGACCCTGGGCAGGAGCATGTTGGTGTCTTAGGGGGAGCAGAAGACAGATGTGGCAGGAGCAGAATCACTAAGAGTAAGAGTGTGAGATAAGCAAGAGCTGGGTGGTATAGACCCTGAAGTCTTTGTTAGAGAGTTTGGATTTTATAGTAATTTTAACAGAATCCTATGGGAGAAGAATCTTTCACTCAGGGTGGAATGGGGTAAAATATATAGACCATTCCTGTATCACTTATACATATGTGATTTACTTAGAAAAATTATTTTACCTAAATATAAAATATATGCATAAATGATCATACATACACACATAATTATATACATATGGAATTTTTATTGTTTTATTTACTTTGCACCTTTGGGTGCAAATCTTTTGCTTTGCTAGACACCTTTATGTCTACTTCAAGAAGTTTCTCATATGTCCTGCAATTGTTTAGAATCACATGCCCCCAACCTTGTTGTGCTTCGCTGGAGTAGTTTCCCTTACACCATGATGGCTCTCACTGTCCCTGCTTTGGTAAGGGAAGTCCTTGGCTTGCTTATGCAAATTTATTATCTTAGTCTTTAGGGATCCTTTCAGTCCACTGGGTGAGAGGTGAACCAACTCATTGTCTAGACGTGGCTTTTTGGTCATTAACCTGTCCTCTCATCCTTTTGATGACATCTCGCCCCTTGTCTCCCTTCTGTGATAAATCCTTTGGATTTGACAGTGGACTTGGGAAGACGAGATTATTTGATTGCTCCATTGCTCCTTTGAAATACATTTTTTAATCCAGCTAACAAGAATAAATTTTTCCTGACCTTTGGAATGTCCATTAGATATCTGCAAATAACTTGAACATCTAGAAAAGCTTCCATTTCTCCCATGAGTATTCTTTCTCACGTTTCAGGAGCAGAGGATTTTGGATCTGTACAACCAGCCTGAGCCTGTGAAGCCCTTCCTTTTCTACCACTCCCGCACAGGGACAACCTCCACCTTTGAGTCTGTGGCCTTTCCTGACTGGTTCATCGCCTCTTCCACGAAAGACAATCCTATCTTCCTCACTGCAGACCTGGGAAAATCATACAACACAAACTTCAATTTACGTATGGAAGCTTGAATTCAGACTGGAGATGGTAGTTTGATTCTTAAAATTCAAAGTCCCAACTGTGTTTTCATCAATATGAACTCAGGGCTATTTTTGTACCAGGGCTGAAAGAAGACAGCAACTGCTATCATCATTTCATGTTCTAGGTGAAGAAGCAAGGGGTTTGTGTCCATGAAAAGCCAGAAAGTGAAAACAGAACAGGGATGTGGTGGTGTGTGGTTCTCCTCTCTAGCAGAAGTTTGCAGCCCACCGGATATTATGCATGAGAAATGTTGCACTGTGCTATGGTGAATGAAGCCGCAGGAGGCCATGTGAATAGTGACACCCTAATTTTCAGGTCATTTGTTTTGTGCATATATGAATCTTATAAACTCATTATACCAAATATTCTTGCGTTTGTGTCGTGTGGAATCCAGGCTGACGTTCACTGCAAACATGGTTTCTTTGGACCTTTAGAAGGTGGACACCACATGGGGCTGGTTGTACGAGGGTAGGGACTTGTTGATTCTGGGAGGAACTACCAGTTTTAGAATGACTAAATCTCCTATAAGTGGAATGTGTGCTTCTGTAAGCCAGACTTTAAGACATTTCCTGTTAACCGTCCGATGACTGGGTATGGTGCTGGACAGACTGCTTTTCCCACCTCACCCTCAGAGATCAAAGAACGAGGATTATAATTAAGACTATATGGCAATAAAATATTAAGTTTTGTTGCTTAGACTTTTAAAAGAAGTAGTAATGTTCTTGACAAAACAGTGCATGTGTATGTTCAAAAGAAATCTTTCCTGTCCTCATCCTATTTCTTTCCATGAAGTGGCTTCTCGGTTTTGGCTTTTTTTCCCTCATGTTTTCCTCCATATATCTCTAGGTATGAGGTTTTGTTTTCATTTCACATATTACCAATTGTAGGCATTATTTTTTCTACCAAATAGATGTTGTTTATATCTCCATTGAACAAAAGTTATGTTGTTCTTTGTCTCTTTTCTGAAAATTAATAGTAAGTTCTGAGTTAAGCAAAGTGGTTCTTTTTTATTTTGTATTTTATTTTAAGGGGTATAAAACAAAACAAAATAAAACAGAATAAAGCCAATCAAAATAAAACAGTGAAAATGACACAGGACTTCAAAACAGGATACTAGGAAATCAACAATTGCTATAATAAGGCCTGTTGTTACCTTCAAAATTGCTGCCCATACCATCAGACATAATAAAACCAGACAAAACAGAACAGAACAGAATCAAAACAAAACATTGAATAAAGCAAAAACATAAAATTGAGCAAAATAAAACAGAACAATATTGGATTTCAAGAACAAGACAGAAGAAAATCCTCCATATTTGCTATATTGTATATTGTATAATATTTGCTGTATTGTATATTGTATAATGATTTGCATCTATTTGATGCCCACACTATTGGTTTTTGGCCTGAAAACTCAATCAAACAATTCAAGCATTGAGTTTGTTTTTGTGCCTCAGTTGCTATCAACTCAGTCTGTGTTCCTCAGAATTGGCTGTTTGCTTACAGAGTGGGTGTGTGGGGTGCGCAGCTCTTCTTGTCTCCCAGCTCACATGAAGGGCAAATTGGCTTCCTGTTTTTTCTCCCTCTTGGCTCACGACTGCAGCAGAGTGGTTCTTACAGACAGTGGATTACCCTTAGGAAACTGTCTGGTAAATGATACTCTAGGATGATCTTTAGCTTTCTTTTCAGGATTTGAATAATTTTAATTAATGGCATCAGGTTTCTCAGCCCTTTTGTTTTATATGAGAAGGAACAGGTACATTGAATGGACAAGATTTTCTGAGGGTGACACTAACATTTAGTAGTAGAATTGGAAATAATCACACTTCTGATTTTTGTGCTTTAGATTTCTGACTGTTGGATATTATAAACACTATGTGAGAAAGTGTTTGTCTTGAGCAGCACAGCCTAGCAAGTCACAGCCATTTCACTTCCATTATTAGGACTGTCCTTGTCTTGTGGGATGTCAGCCAATGATCCACTCAGGGTGGAATACCTCTGACCACCAACCATCATTATGTAATGACATAAGTATTGAAACATATTTATTGCATATAGTCATTCTCAGATTTGAAATACTGAAATAGCCTGGTGTGTGCACTAAATCCAAGGGGCTCCACACTTAGTAAATTAAATCACCCTCTCTTAGAAATTTCAATTTATTTTGTTTTGGGTGGGACTTAATAATCAATATTTTGCCAACAATCCTAGAGAATACTGATCGATGAACCAAGCATGGGAATTAAAAAATTCAGGTTAATCACATTTGGGGGTAAACTGCATGTTTCTAGAGAAATAAGGGCATGTTATTCTTGCATAGTTTGTTAATACTTACATTGCAATTTCTCTGTTGAGTGATTGGTTCCAGTGAATTGAACAAAATGATTCAAGTCTTCTAGAATACTATAAAAAGTATTCAAGTCTTCAAATATAATTTCATATCACAAAGTTAGAAAGAATTCAAGTTTCCATCCATCAGTGAACAGATAAATAAGTTGTGCGCTTTTGATACTATTAATAAAAAGAAATTAACTGTTGATAGAGATTAAACAAGATGAACTTTAAAAGTATTATTTAGGAAGTGTAATTCAAAGGATACATATCATATGAGTTCATTTATAAGAAGTTTAACAATAAGAAAATTAATGTTTGATTATAGGAATCAGAATACTGGTTGCTTTGGCAAGGAATGAACAAACTGTCTTAAAAGCTGCCATAGAGCTAAAACTAGTGGCATTCAAATGATCAAAAACCCACAATGGCTTTCCACTCTATAAAGCAACATAAGTCAGCCAGAAATCATTGAAATCGGCCTACCTGTGGGACCCTGTTTCCAGCCTGGCAGAGCTTTCTTTCTCATCCGGGGGCTGTGCCACAGATTCCTACCGGGAACAGTGAGGTGAGCTTAGCTGCAGGAGCCCGTTTCCAGCCTGGCGGACCTCTCTCTCTCTCGTCTGGGGGCTATGCCTGGAGTCCGGAACATAAGAGACAAATTCCAACACACCAAGGGGAAGCTTGGAATAACACTTGAAGATCAAAAACATAGGAAAATGACAAAATGAAAGGCCAAAATGCAATCTCAAACATCCACCCATCCCAAGAAAGCTTAGGAACCATACACATAGAAGAAAATACATGCCACATACCTAAAATAATAGTAACCAAAATAAAGAAGCAACTCTGGGAAGCCTTAAAGGAATTCAAACTAGAAATAATCTCCCAGGTAAAAGAAGAAATGATAAAAGAAATGAAGGAGATGCTGAACATATCTAAAGAAGACACAGTTAAAAAACTGGAGGAACTAAACAAAAAGATAGAATCCCTGGATAAACAATATAAGAAACAAACAGAATATATAAAGCAGATGCAAAGAGATATACAGGAAATCAAAAATTCCATTGAAAGTTGTAAAAACCGCCTCAATGAAAGTGAAGATAGAATTTCAGACCTCAAAGACAAGATTGCAGCCAGTGAACAGGAAAGGAAATATCTTCTAAAAATAATAATAAATCAGGAAATAACAATTCAACACCTGCAAGTTGATGCAAAGACAAACAACATAAGGTTGATAGGGATAAATGAAAAAGAAGGGGACAACATAAAGGATGTCAAGAGGATATTTTGAGAAGTAATAACTGAAAAATTCACAAACATGAGATTGGAAACTGATATCAAGATGAATGAAACATATAGAACTCCAAATAGCCATAACCAAAATAAAACTACACCCACACATATAATAATAGCCATCCCAGAAGTTGAACAAAAGAATAGAATATTAAAAGCTGTCAGAGAGAAAAGACAGATCACCTATAAAGGAAAACCTATCAGAATCACAGAACACTTCTCAGCACAAACAATAAAGCCAAGAAGAGCATGAAGTGAAGTAGTTCAGATCCTGAAGGTAAATGATTTCTAGCCTAGACTGATGTACTCTGCAAAACTGTCATTCAAAATCAATGGAGAAATAAGATACTTCCATGAAAAAGAACAGCTAAAGAACTTCACGATCACCAAGCCAACCCTACAAAGAATACTGAAAGACAGCCTAGATACATTTAAGAAAAAGCCACTAAACAAAGCAGACAAACAGAACAGAAAGATAAAGAAGCAACAGGAGAAAGATAACATGTCACCAATAAAGCAATATATAACAATTACAACCATTAATGTAAATTGTCTCAATGCACCAATTAAAAGAAACAGACTGGCAGAATGGATCAAAAAACAAAATCCAACCATAGGCTGTCTACAAGAAACCCATCTAACCCAAAAGGATACTCACAGACTAAAAGTCAAAGGATGGAAAACAAGACTTCATGCAACAGGAACCCAAAAAAGCGGGAGTAGCTATTCTGTTTGCAGACCATGTGAACTTCAAATCAATAATGATCAAAAGGGTTAAAGAAGGTCACTACATACTGGTTAGGGGAAAACTTCAAGAGGAAGAGATAACTATCTTAAATACATATGCACCAAATTCCAGAGCACCCAGTTATATAAAACAAGTATTACCAGAAATGAAAAACCAAATTAGCAGCAACACAATTATAACAGGAGATTTTAACACACCATTGACACCAATGGACAGATCAACCAGACAGAAAATCAGCAAAGAAATAAAAGAACTGAATCACACCTGTGAACAAATGGACTTGATAGACATATACAGAGTATTCCACACAACAACAACAGAATACACATTCTTCTCAGTAGTACATGGATCATTCTCTAAAATAGACCATATATTAACTCACAGAACATATTTAAATAAATGCAAAAGGGTTGAAATAATCCTTGGCATGCTATCGGATCATAGTGCTATGAAATTAGAAATTAATGATAAAAGATACTGCAAAAATCCCACAAACAGAAATGAAATTAGAAATTAATGATAAAAGATACTGCAAAAATCCTACAAACACATGGAAACCGAGTAACACATTCTTGAGTAATCAGTGGGTCACAGAGGATATTAAAGAAGAAATTAAGCAATACCTACAAACGAATGTAAACACAAATACAATTTACCAGAATCTGTGGGATGCAATGAAAGCTGTCCTCAGAGGAAAATTTATTGCACTGAATTCCCACATCAGGAAAACAGAATGAATACAAATAAACAACTTGATATTACACCTCGAACATCTAGAAAAAGAAGAGCAAGTTAAGCCCATTTAATATTTAAAGTAAAATATTTAATTTTTAATAAAATACTGGAAATACTAGCTAGAGAAATTAGACAAGAGAGAGAAATAAAAGGCATAAAGATAGGAAAAGAAGAAGTTAAATTATCATTATTTGCAGATGACATGATACTCTACATAGAAGACCCCCAAAACTCCATTGAAACACTCCTAGATATAATAAGTAAAATCAGCAATGTGGCTGGATACAAAATCAATCCTTAAAAATCAATAGCATTCCTATACACTAACAACAAAATCACAGAGAGAAATAAGAGAAGCCACACCCTTCACACTAGCAACCAAAAAAAAGAAATATTTAGGAATTACTCTCACGAAAGAAGTGAAAGACCTATACAGGGAAAATTAGAATACACTTAAAAATGAAATTAAAGAAGATCTCAGAAAATGGAAAGACATGCCTTGCTTATGGATAGGAAGAATAAACATTATGAAAATGGCCATTCTCCCAAAACTGTTATACAGATTCAATGCAATCCTAATAAAAATACCATCAACATACCTCATAGATCTCGAGAAATCACTCCTAAAATTCATCTGAGTGAGAAGATACATAGAATAGCAAGGACAGCTCTAAGCAGCAAAGGCAAGGCAGGAGGCATCACAATCCCTGCCTTGAAGTTATAGTACAAAGCAACTGTAGTAAAATCAACATGGTACTGGAACCAAAACAAAGCCGATGAGCAGTGGAACAGATTAGAAGATACAA